CTTTTCCCCCTCACAGAACATGGCCGACTAGATGAAGCAGTGGGACCAGGACTGGGTTTCTGATGCCACAGCAGGAAATATATGTGAGCACAGAAATCCAGAGACACTTTGAAGGAGAAGTTAATGTATGCGGCGGAAGATTTTAAGCTTCCCCTCCACTGGAAACCCATCAGCATATCAATGAAGAGAAAGGGGGAGGAGACCGGGCCCAGCCCAGGCCCTAGTCCATTTGTCACACGATCCAACCCCGTGGCGGCTGCATATGTCATCAAATACTGCCGTGGAGAGAAAAACAGAAATAACAGAATTCAAGCGGAATGGAAAAGCAATCAGAGCTATTTTTCCCCCCATCGGTTGTCTTTAGGTTTCCAATCAGGCTGATACTCTGGGAAGAATCAGGCCTGGATTCTCCAAACCGGGGACTCAATGTCAGGCACTGATTCCCACGGCTGCTGGGACAGCCCCAGGGAACTGAGCCGCAGAGGCTGGGGCACATCCTCCGGGGCACCCCGCATGCACGGGGCTCCTGGGGCCGCCCGCCCTGGGCCCGTCGTCAGCCCTGGGCCCATCACAACGGCCCCTGCAGCGTCCCAGACGCCTGCTGGAACGAATTCAAAACTATGCAAGCTCCCTTGTTTGAGAAAAAAAAAAATAGACCAAAAAACCTCTTCCTCTCTTTGGCTGCTTCTTGTGAACAAGGAAACCAGGAAATGATAAATTGAACATAGACGTGTGTTAAGTAGCTTGGATGGCCAAGGAAGCGGGATGTCTGCCTCAGTACACTATAGAAAGATGGTTTTTGTTTCTTTGTTTGGGGTTTTTTGTTTAGTTTTTTCCTGTTAAATGTGAAGTCCCCAGTAAGGCAGACTACTGCAATGGTTAAGGCAGGGGTCCGGGGAGCCAGTCGGCCTGGGCTCCAGACCCGCCGACCCTTTACCACCCCCCCCACACACACGTGTCCTCTGCTCTGGTCCCTCCTTTGGGTGCGAGGACAACAGAGGGACCCCACCAGGCTACTGTGACAACTAAGTGTCAGCGGTTGCTCCTCCAGCCTGCCCGCTCTCTCCCTCCCTCTGTGCTACCCCTTAATAAACGCTGCCACTGCCTCTTGGGGGTGTGGTGGGGGGAACAGGTGAGCGTTGAGACTATTTCAAAAGGGCCCGGCGCACAGTGTGTCGCAAACCACATCCGTGCTTGTCTGTGTGGCAGCATTCTGCTGTGCACAGTGCCCACTATTTTTCCCCCAAAGTGTTGAGGCAAAAATAAGAATGTGCATTACGCCTGGATAGTACCAAAATACCTGGTGTCTGTTCTTGTGTTTTGTAATTTCTTGTACGATAATATGTGGAAAAAAACAAGTGCTAAAATTCCTTTATAATACAAAAAAAGTACCTAAATATAAATAAATAAATAAGTAAGTAAGTAAGTAAATAAATAAATATTGGATTAAAAATTAAAGTGAAGTATTTCCCCCCCTGAAAGTTTGGGCCCAAAACATGGGTGTGTGTTACCCAGGGTGAAACACAGTGAAGAGACCTGCTGTGCTACCTCTGGGGTCCTAGGTGTTGCAGTGACTGGTGGTTTGGGCGGGCGGGCGGGGTGCAGAAACACCAGCACAGCCCTGCCTGGTGTGGCTCAGTGGATTGAGTGCAGGCCTGCCAACCAAAGGGTTGCCGGTTCGATTCCCAGTCAGGGCACACGCCTGGGTTGCAGGCTAGTTCCCAGCGGGGGATGCATGAGAGGTAACCACACATGGATGTTTCTCTCCCTTTCTCTCCCTCTCGCTTTCCCCCTCTCTCTCCCTCCTCTTCCCCTCACTAGAACTCAAGGGTGCCTTCTGGGTCCTCCTAGGAAGCCTGAGGAGGTCTGTCCAATCAACGGGGACCCCCCGGTCCCACGGATCCCAAAGACAGTCTTCACATCCCGGGGAAAACTAATTGGGATGCAGTGGGGGGCAGGGAGGTGGGAACTGCAAGACACATCCCCTCTCTGGGGGGAAAACCACCAACCACGCCCACTACCCACCCTCACCCACGTGGCGCCTCTGTGGTAAATGTGAGCAGAATAACCACGCGTGGGCTGACCTCAGAGCACAACACATTATCACCTGTAAGGACACAGATGAGCAAAGCGACCAGCTGACCTGGGGGCGAGGGACGCATGCAGGATGGGGGGACACCTGACGTGGAAGAGTCTCATTAACATCCTTGAAGGAGACCTCGCCTGTAAAACCAGCGCTTCCAGGGAGGCGAACGCAGCGCCATGAAAGGGGAGCAAGCACAGAACGTCAGTGATTTCTAGTTTCATACTATGGCGTGTTCAGAAAAATTCTTGGTATGCTGTCAATTTTCTTACATCTTCTAAAACTTGCTTTGTGACATGTATGTGATCCATTGTGGAAGGGGTTAGATGTGTGCTTGAGCAGAATGTGGCGTCTGCTGCTGACGGGCGGAATGTTATGCATACACCTGGTAGGTGCCTTCGCTCTAAGTGATTCCATTCACTCCAAGTTAGGTCTTAGTCATTATGTGTATGTTGGCTAGGTCCATTTGGACTTCATTCTATCCAATGTTTCCCTATTGATTTTCTGTCTGGATGACTGATTCATTGGTTCTACCCTGGCTGGTGTGGCTCAGTGGATTGAGTGCCAGCCTATTAACCAAAGGGTTGCCAGTTCAATTCCCAGTCAGGGCGCATGCCTGGCTTGTGAGCCAGGTCCTCAGTAGAGGGCACTCGAGAGGCAACCACACATTGATGTATCTCTCAATGTGAGAGATACAGCTGGGAGGCCTTCCAGACACCACCCTCGGTCAACATGGAGAACTCAACAGAGGGGACGAGCAGCCCAGGTCCCCCCACCCGCGCTGTGGCCTGGAAACTTCGGCACAGCTGGACTTACCGCTGGTGGTGGAAGAGCCCTGCATGGTGCCAGATTGGTGGCCATGGGCCCGCTGGGCAGAGCTCATGGCGCTCACTGTGAGCCGGGGGCCTGGGTAGAAAGTTCCCGGTGTGTGGGCGTGGACGTGGGCGTGGCCGAAACATGGCCCCGACAGCGGCCTGACTCTAAGTGAAGCTGAGACGCCAGACTTGCGCGGCACACCACGGGGGAAGCGCTCAAACCGCTTGCAGGGGTGTCCAACCTCCGCGCCCCGTGCAGCCCAGGAGGGCTGTGAATGCGGCCCAACACGAAACCGTAAACTTACTGAAAACATGATGAGATTTTGTTTTTGCTTGTTTTCGTCAGTGTTTGCATATTTAATGTGTGGCCCCAACAACTCTTCCTCTTCCCGGCTGGCCGGAGTCGCCAAAAGGCCGGACAGCCCAATTTCCATGATTAAAATACAAGCAAGCACAGGATGTTTCGCCGAATCTTTTAAAAAAACTATCTAATCGGAGCTGCATAATCTGGTGCCTAGTAGGCGTGCGGCATCATACAGAGCCTCTCACAGGGTAAGGTGAGGAAGACAGCGATCTCAATCCCAGGAGACACCGCGCACGTCTGGAAAACGGCCACGGGAACGAGAAGTGCGCCTTCCTCCCCGACCCAGCGGTCTCTGGTCCCGGCTGCGGTCGGGCTCCAACAGAGCATGTGGAGAAGTCACAGCAGCTCCCGCCCTCCTCCCCGCCTCTCCTCTCACTCACCAGGCGGGAAAGAGCAGCGTCCTTCCCTTTCCACATTGCAGATTCTGTTGCCCCCTTGGATGGTTTCAAATCATCCTCACTTGGGGATTTTTTTTTTTTTTTTTGCATTTAGAGAGAGAGAGGAGGGGAGAGAGAGGAACATGGATGGGAAAGGGAAGCATGGATCGGTTGCCTTCCATATGTGCCTGGACCGGAGATCGGTGCCCACACCCAGAATGGGGATTGAAGTCGCAACCCAGGCATGTGCCCCGACCGGGAATCCAACCTGTGGCTTTTCAGTTTGCAGGATGATGTCCTATTAAGTGAGCCACACTGGCCAGGGTGAAAATTTCTATTTAAAAACACTTTTTAAAAAATATTTTTGACTGGGAATTGAACCGGCAACCCTTTGCTTCACAGGCCCATGCTCAATCCACTGAGCTACACCGGCCAGGGCTAAAAACATTTTTTAAGAGGGAAATTGCTCATCTGAGTGGACACAGTGTGGGAGAAGAGTCCCCCTGGAATTGATGCCCGAACGCCCTTCTCCGACCTGGACGCCGTCTCGGTTACCTGCATCCAACAGGCGGGGTTTTAACAACCCACAGGTTTGTGTTGCTTTCTATCCCATTAGTCTCTGATCTGGGTCCTTATCTCCAGGTCTGATCACTTCAAGAAGACATTTTAAATAATTGATCACTACAAAAGGAAGAAAAAGCCATGCCGCCTTTTTCACGATCCATCAGGAACGGGGAAAACCTCTTCCTTTAGCACCGGCTCGGACACATAAATATATTAATGCAGATGCTGAGGAGAACATGCCCACGAATCTACAAACACACATCTGCCCGGGGTGCTTCTGGGAGGGAGAAGCCAGCGTCCTCTGTCCGGGCCTCCCCAGCGTGAAACCCGAGCATCGCAAGAACCTGTTCAAGGGCACGGCTTTCTTCCCTCTAGTAAACACCACTTGCACCAAGAGGCACAGACTCCGAAACACACGCGAAGCTGACATTTCTTGACCTCTGTTCAAACACGTCCTGTTTGTGATCACCTGTGGGCATACGTAGATGCACAGATGTGTTCATGCATCTAGATGAATTGCTTACATGTATACACATTAAAATGCCTGTGTCCTTGGCATGTCCTCGTCAGAGGGCCCCCAAACGGGACAAACAGAAAGAGGGAGGCACGGGAGAGCCACTCTGGGAAGTAGACCAGGCCGGGGGCTCTGGTCTCGCCCCCGACAGCACTTCCAGAAAGGTCTGCCCTCCCCTCCGTGGGAAGGAGCCAGAGCGCTCGGCCTTCACCCCCGACGCGCGTCCCTCTGCAGCCAGAGGCCTGGTCCCAGGCCGCCACCGCAGAGACCAGGGGCCACTTACCACGAGGGAGAGGGGTCTCTTCCAGGAGACGACGCCGATGAGTCCTGACAGCAGCACCTGGAACGACAAACGGTGCGGGAAGGTGAGACGCGGCGGGCGAGGCCTTCGGTGGCCAATCAAAACAGGTTCGTTCGCCCCTTTCAAACCCGGAGAAGGATCGCTGCCAGGATGAGCGGGTGACACGGAGGAGCACTGGCCACCCTGACGCCCACAGCCTGCAGCCCCCAGAGGCTCCTGAGCGGGCAGCCCGTGTGCTCGTGGGGGTGGGGGCAGGGGCGGAGCCTCCACCAGGGCCCTGTGCCACTCTGGTCCTGGACGTTTTCTGGCTGCACGATCTCAATATCACAGAGAGCAGAGATTCCCACACACAGGTCACCAAGCCACCAGCCTTCTCTACTGGGATGGGGAAGCAGGAGCCTCCCATCCAGCCCACTAATGCCACCTGCAGTCATTCTGTAGCTCGCAGGCCAAAATCCCACCTGCTCTCCCCTCCCCAACCCGGCCTCCCTCTCGCCAGCTCTTCCTTCCACCCACAGCGGCCCCTCCTCCTGGTGACTCGAACCCCGCAGACAGTCCCCTAGCCCTCACCTGATATCCCACCAGGCACAGTGCGGGGGAGGACAAGGCCGTGGCTTCCCCCGCCACAGGGCAATACTCCAGGAGGCCGCACTGTAACACAAGTCCTGGCCTTTTCACCCGGGGTCTCCCCTGAACATAAATCCCCCAACTTTCCGTAGTGGGTGCGGGTGGTCAGGGACCAAGGTTGAGGGGCTTGGACACATTTCCCGGGGAGGCTGACCCCTGACCTGAAGGGACAGCGTGCCACTGAACTGGCCCACGAGGCCCCCCCTGGTGACAGACCCTACTCACCCTCAAACACGTCCGCACGGACGAGGACCAAGTCTTGGACCCAACGCCGCTACCCCACCCAGCCAGCGCTGGTCTTAGAGGCTCGCTGGAAGCTCTGGACGATCTTTTACACATTCATGCGACGGGCTTTTGACCCTAACTCACACGAAAATCAAACAAAACAAAAACAGAAGAACCGGGAGAGAGCTCGGTCCGACTCCGCCCCCTCAAGCGCGCACACACGTATCCTTTCTCCGACACACGCCGACTTCCAGACGCAGTCGCCGCTGACACAGGAACGCACCGCCATCTCGCCCACCTTCTCACATCCCACCCCCCCTTGTATATTTCAGCTCCAACCCCCGCCCCCCGAGAAGTCAGTCCCTGTCCCTCTGAGCCCAGTGTCACTTGCTCTTTTCTACGAAGCCCTTAAAGCCTCTCTCTTCCCTTCCATACCCGACACTCCATCTATTCGATCTAAAACAGATGCAGTTGTCGTTTCTCCCCTGGAGATGCTCCTTGGCCTCTCACTGTCTCTCACGCTGGACACTTCCAAGCTCAGGAACTCACCTCCACCCCCCACCCTTCTGGTGAATTCCAAGTTTCTGCCCATGACCCTGACCTGTTCCGAGCTCCCCGTCCAGGCCAGTGGGCCGGCCGCTGGTGAAACTGGCTCAGGCCTCTTGGCATCTCTCCACGTGCTTGTTCCTCTCTGTCCCCTCGGCCGAGCCAGGGCCCTCGTCTGCTCACTCACCTCTGTCCCCGGCATTGAAGCCGTCCTGGACGCCTCAGCAGCTGAATCTCATCTCCCCGGGCTGACCCCCCAGGCCCACAAGAATTCAGTCCCCAGTTTCCCACCAGCACCTCCCTAAACAATACTCCAATGCATCCAGCCCACTCGGGAAAGCTGGGGTGACCTTGGCAATGGAGAAGACCTACACGGAAACCCCTGTGTTTGCCCCTTACAAGGCATCGAACTTCTGGAGGCTGTCTGCCCTCGGCACTGACCTTGTTGGGCGTCTCAGCATCCCTTCCTGGTACCCCAGCTGTCCCCCTTTCTCTCCCCTCAGACTAATGGCCCTGGTGCCACCTGTCCCCAGGAAAAGTCCTCTACCAAGTGTCCTTTATTCTCCCTACACACCAAGCCTCGCTCAGACTGAGCCGGGGCGCAGGGTGGGAAGACCTCCCAGGAAATGTCTACGGGCTGCCATCTGCTTTTCCATTTCTCCCACACCAAACTTGACCTTCTCTTCAAGACATGGCTCAAAGCCTCCCCGCCCACGAAGGGCCGTAGAGTGCCCGGGGCCCCACCGAATCCCTAAGCCACCACCAGACCCCTCAAGCCACTTTCAATGAGCTCACTCAGAACCCTGTGAGCTCATCCGAACTGAAGTTTATGAAACTATAAAACTACAATGGCCAAGGCGCTTATAACAGAAATGTCACCCACAAACCTCCAAAGAGCCAGCATTTTCTAAACGTGAAAGAAGTTAACGTCACTGATCTTAGGCCGTGGGTAAGAATTCTCGACGTTCCTTGCCTTCACGACGAAGTCATCATTCAAGGAACCAACCCCCTGAAACCGTGTCACTTCCAAGCGACGTGGATGGTTTGCTTGTTGAAGATGAGTGACAATTTAAATATCATAAACAGCTGTCATCGGGGACGCGCCAAATTCCCCGCACAAAGACGCCAAAACCCGTCACACCCAGGTGGCCTGCAGGTTCTCCGGTGACCCCTGGTGATCCATGGCCTTTACAAAGCCCCCCGGTTTGGTATGAATACAACGGGCTCCCTAGTGACACCTTCAGATGGGGCCGGCCCGCCAGTGCCTTGAACACAGCCGTGTGAGACTCCGCCCGGTCGACCCAAACAAGCCGTGTCCACGACCCAAGGAAACCACGAGATAACAGACGGGTGTTGTGTGAGGCTGTCAAGCTTGTGGCCGTCGCTGCAGTGGGATGAAAACTCAGGGCTGTGAAACCAACCAATGTTTGCGTCCTGCCCAAACCCACCTGTTGGAGCCCCACCCGCCCCACGGGACCGTGTTTGGAGATGGGCGCTTTAGGAGGTGATAAGCGGTAAACTGGGATAGGACACGGGGCCATCGTGATGGGGTTGGCGGCCGCGCAGGAGGAGAAAGAGAAAGTGATCTTTGTCTTTGGCAATGCACACCCTGTGGCCAGGCCCCAGGAGGATACGGCGAGGAGGTGACCCTCTGTGAGCCAGGAAGACGCCCTCCCTGAACAGGACCGCAGTGACACCCTGGCCTCGGACTTCCAGCTTCTGGGACTACGCGCAGTAACTCTGCTGTTTAAGCCTGTCCATGACACACAGCCAGGGCAGCCCAAGCGAACCCACACAGCGATGCATCCAGAACAGAGCATTAGCTTATTGGCCCCAAATATCCGCTCGTCCCCCGAGTCTGCCCCAACTCCCCTGCCCCTCGGACCTACTCACACTGGCACCGGCTCTGAGGGCAGAAACCCTTCTCAGAGCCCGGAGGCCGGCGCGCCTCTGCTGTGAGGTCAATCCATCTGGATTGTGGTGACCAAGGGGACAGCGCGTGCCCCACTCTGAATGACCAGGTCTCAGTTTGCATTATTTTTACTTGAGTCCAGCGACCCGTGAGGACTCGCTACCTGTGCTGACATCTCAGTCATTCCGCGGGTTCACCCTGGTTGGCTTCTGCGAGGAGCCGAGAAACGGCCCCACCTCACAAAACCTTCCTCCTGTTTCATCTGCCAGGACCGTCGTCCTTCAAAGTCCGCAGTTTACAAAGAATGCATGGAAAGGGAAGGCAGTCAGAGAAGAGCAACGTTTAATGAAGTGGCTGGGGAAGAAAAGCCAGAGGCCCCCCCTTGGTGGGGGAGGCGGCAGGACTTCTCAGGCACCTGCGAGCTGTCCCGGGGGCAGCCCATTTGCTGTTTTCTGCCACTTGTCATCCAGCCTTAATAGGGACGGGAGATAAAATCAGAAGAGAGAGAGGACTTCCTACTGTGGCAGAGGCTGACAGGAAGCAGTGGCCTCTCTGGGGCCGAAGGCCTGCCCTCTTCAGGGGTGCCACTGAATAGGGGCCTGAAAACTTCAGCTCTTCAAAACATCCTCTCCAATTGAAAAGTTCTTTTGCTGCCAAAAATCAGGAATTTCCTTCAGTTCAGAGGTACCACTTCAGGTAGGGGCCTCGTCCTTCCAGAATGCAGGCTTGAACACGCTAATGACATTGCAGAGTTCCAGAAACATCTGGCAGGAGGGCCCGGTGGCTGCAGGGGGAGCCTCTTACCACCGAGAAGCTGGGGAGAGGTAATCATGCAGGGAGCAAAGAGTGTTCTGAGCTTAACGGGATGAGAGTGGACCATCAGCCTCTCACCCTGCAGACCTGTCCGTGTGCCAAATTCTTCCTCCTGTTTCACGCAGTGGGCGACCCTCCTCCTTTATCCTTCCTCAGACGTGTTTTCTCCCTGCGTGGTTTTCTTGGTCTGGGGCTCCCTGGGGACCACGGCAGGGCTCACTCAGATACACCGGCCCTCCGTCCTCAGTGTCCTCATTGGCTGCGGGCTGGGACACGCCCAGCTCTTTACACCCACCTCCTGCCGTCAGGACCACTCCCAGGGCGCCACACGCTCCCCCAGTCACTCAGGGCCAGCCCGTGGCTCCAACTTCCTCCACAAGGGTTCCCGCTGGAGGCTGCGCTCCTTCCTCAACCTCAGAACCTCCACCAGGACCTGCCTTCTCACCCTGCTCCCTCTGTGCGAGAAAAAGACCTCGACTGCTTCCGTTCATTGCCCAGAAACTAGAATCAGTGACAAAGACAGCCCCATGAAAGGAAGCAAATTACCAAGATGTAAAATGCTTAGAAACACAGTGGACCCTGGAAGAACACAGGTTTGAACCGTGTGGGCCCACTTATATGTGGGGTTTTATCAATACATACTGTAAAAGTATTTTTTCTTCCTTATGATTTTTCTTTTTCTTTTTTACATCCTTACCCAAGGACATGCTTATTGATTTTTTAAAAAGGGGAAGGGAGGGAGAGAGAAAAACATCAATCAGTTACCTCTCACATGCACCCCGACTGGGGACTGGACCCGTGACCTAGGTTTGACCTAGTGCCTTGACTGGGAATCGACCCCGGACCTTTTGTTGTACAGGACATGCCACACAACTGAGTCACACTGGCCAAGTCTGCTTTTCTTAATATTTTGATA